CCCATCATGGGCCCCCTTGGGGGAGCAGAAGGAACGGCCGGTTCAGAGTGGGCGATCGAGAGCGGCGTGGCCCCAGGATTTGCAGATCCGGCACGACTTCTGCGCTCCGCGGCGCTGTCATACGAGCCGTTGGCACCAGAGTTGGTGCGCGAGCGCGTGGAAGTGGCGGCACTGGGCAAGGCATCGGCAGTGGCGACTATGCCACCCCCCGCTTTGACGGGATCCAGGCTTGAGGAATCCTATGAGCCATGCGAGCCAGCAATGGGTGAGAAATATACGTGGGTCTCAGGTGCGGTTTTACCAGCTTTGCACAAAACCAAGGTCAGACCAGGTTGAGATCGAAGGCCAGCGTCTCAAGCCCGGACAGGATCATGCTCAGCAGCTCAATGCCCTGCGCGTTTGATTTTTGGAGGGAAGGGAAGACGGGCGTGAGGTGAGATGGGTGGTGAAAGCGGGGACGAGTGCGGATAGCAAGGTGCAGAGAAGAATTGGGCGAGCTGGTTGGGCAATCCCGAGTTGTAATACCTCGCGGTTGAAGAGGTGGGCTTCGGCCGCGTAGTATCGCCCCTTGTACACCACGTCCTCGACAACCATGTTCAGATAGGCCTCCATGGAGTATTCATTCAAAGCGTGTCTGAGAAAGGCTCGTGACCGGCCGCGACCTGTCCGAACCAGCTTGAGCCGATTGATCTAAACCATTGAGGGACGAGTCAGGTACGCGTCTGTCCATGAGACCACGCGGACAGCTGGACACGTGTTTGTTTGCAAGCCAGCGGCCAGCAAGCGGCACGTTACGAGCCAGTCTGCTCTGAGTCAGCGCCATGGTCTACGCCGCCAGATTGACCCACCTCACGCACGACATCTTTGCGGCAAAAGCGCTGCACGTAATCCCAATAACACTCCTTGTTGGCGAATCGCTTATCCAGTCTAGCACCCAGAGGAAATATTATAGGATTAGGCAGTGGATAGAGGGCACGTCAACAAGCTCGCTCGATGCGGTGGCTCCGGGCTCCCCCACCGAGTGGCCTCTGATTGGTGTCTGTTGTTCCTCGCTGCACCGCGATGTGGTGCGCTAACGTCTCGACTCACCCGTGCATGAAGAGCGAATCAAGACGAGCTAGCAGGGCGAGCACGGCCGTCTGCGACTCGTTGATGGCCGTAGCTCCACCATTTGCCAGAAAGGCTGCCTGGAGCTGTATCAGAACATGATAGTGGGCATGTGAGCGGGCTGTCACGGTTGGCTCATGGTGTGGCTTTTAGTATAAACAATTGAATCAGTATTTCAAACGAGCACGTCGCACAAGCCCCCCGCCCCATGCTTGACAAACCGCCCTGCCACCCCTCCCTACTTCAGTAGCCCCAACCAGTCGACCCACACACGCCCGGCACCGACCCACACGCATGCCCCCGGAACCAATGGAACCGTACCTCCTTGATACTCTGGGAGATATCCTGCACCAACACCTCCAGCGCCATCGCGGCGATGTCCGTCCGACAAAAGGCGCCTCGTAAGAGATACTGTAGCAAATATCACACTTTCAGTGTGTGTATAGTGTGATTGTGGTGTCATTTTTTGCGATCCGTGTTCGAGCGCGAGTGGTAACTCGAACTGGCAAGATGGCGGCGAGCGACGGCCAACAAGGTGTGTGTGTGTCTCTCTCTCTCTCTCTCTCTCTCTCTCTCTCTCTCTCTCTCTCTCTCTGTGCGCGCGCGTGTGTCTGTGTGTGTGTGTGTCTGTGTGTGTGTCTGTGTGTGTCTGTGTGTGTCTGTGTGTGTCTGTGTACGACACCTCAGAGATGACGCAGTCGTGCGATGGGCTGCTGCCGTTCTGTTCCTTTCGTCCCCCTCCTCCTTGTTTCTGGAACGTCCCCCGTCGTCTCGACCCCTGTTTCCATTGCATTGCCTCTACTTCGTGGAACGGACGCCGTATGTTGCTCACAATGCTCATGGGATCTCCAACGGGACACCCTTGCCTCTGCTTGTAAGCAGAATGGGTCGAGTATTTCAAGCGCAAATGCGAGGAAGACCCGGCCATGTCCAGTGCCGTGGCAGCCATGCATACCCTCCTCGCCTACCTTCAGCAATCCAAAGGTTGGCGGCTCACCCACCCCTGCGTCGCTGGCGTTGCTGTATTGCTTCCCCATGCACCGCTTTCACATTCCTTGTCCTTGCTTCCTCTTCAACAGCCGAGACGCTGGCCGAGCTGCGCGATTCAGTCAACTCTGTTGTCGCGGCGCTGATTGATAATACTGAAGCTACCATCACCTCCGTTTCTTCAGGCTGCGAACTCTTTATTCGGTACGACCTGTCCGCCTGGCGCCAGCAGTACCCGTTGTTCGCTCAGTTCCAGTCCACGCCACCGTGGTCTACAGCGGCTCACCTTCAAATACTGCATCTTGCTATAGCTTTATTACATTGAATGCCGACGCTGCCTCGGACTTTGCCACTTGCCTCAAGCTGATCGTCGAGAATGGTTTGTTACCTGCTCACATGTTGCGTGCCCGCTCGCTGGCCCAACTCACCTGGCCACTGAACCCCCGCGGGGCTTAGGTCGCGCCTTTCTGGAGAAGGCACAACACAGCCGCATGCGCATCGCACCAAAGGGTGTTCCTTTCATCCGAGATGGCACGGTGTGTTGGAATGGCACACATTGCAACAGTGTACACGTTTCGATGTGACCACGCTCATCGATGCTCCGCCCTCTGCTTCCAATACATGGTGATGGGACTCCACTTAATCAGACTGTCTTGACACTGGCGCGATCTCGTGTGGTCCAAGAGGTTTTGCTTGAGGCCACCAAGCGCAACAAGCGCTTCTCTGTCCTCGTAACCGAGTCGCGGCCCTCGGGCAGCGGGTACGTCTTGCCCACCCAAATTTTAACCAGCCAAACGACGTCTTTTGTGTCGAAAATGGGAGGGCCTGTACACCGTGTGATTTCCTCACGACCAATGTGTTTTCTACCTTGGGGCCCTGTGACGCTTGGTGGTCGCTGTAGTCTCAAGATGGCCGAGTGGCTGCAACAGCACAACATTCCCGCCACCGTCATTGCAGTACGTCCGCGCGCTTGTACTCGTTGCCCGGCCCCCTTCCGCACCATTCCTCCCATTGGCCGACGTGACCAACCAACAAGCATTTCCAAACACTCATGACATGTTCGCCGTCTTAATCTCTCCTCAATTTGATTCTACTCAGGACTCGGCGGTGGGCTACATCATTGATCAGGTGGACTTTGTGATTTGTGGTGCCGAGGCGGTCGTTGAATCTGGAGGCATCATCAATTCGGTCGGTGTCCTTCGCCGCGGCACCAATGGAGCCCAGTACTGGGCTGTTGCTTTAGTCCAGAGCTTACCGTGCCTTGTGCATGCTTGGCCCGCCTTGTCTCACCTGGGGGTTTGCATAAATGGTAGATTGGCACTTACCAAGCAGCGATGGCTGCCAAATGCGCCAACAAGCCGTTTTACGCAGTGGCTGAGTCGTTCAAATTTGTGCGCCTCTTTCCCTTGTCACAGAAAGATCTTCCCGCCAACCGGGATCGCGCTCTGCCAAACGTCCCCCCAGGCGTGGAAAGCCTAAACCCACTCTTTGACTACACGCCCCCAGCCTATGTAACCCTACTGTTTAGCGATCTTGGCGTCTTGACACCCTCAGCTGTTAGTGATGAACTGATCAAACTCTACTACTGAGCCTTGGCGCCCTGCTCGCCAAGCATGCTCCTGCCAACATGCTTGCCAGAACACCTCGACTTGGCGTCTGAGGCGCCGTCGCTCCCTGTATCTCCCTCAAGCTTTCGGATCTTCGCTTGCCCTGCCCAAGGTCTTGCCTTCTCTTTGCTTGATCGTGGTCTCTTCTTGATGGGGTATCCTGCTTTGAAATTTGTTTTCATTTCTGCATTATGCCGTTGGAACTGAAAGAAATCGACGGTGAACGGGTCGGTTTAAATCTAGCCAATCGACTGGATATGTTTGTGCCTCTGGTGTGGCAGGCATACACACATGCACACACACACACACCTACACAGACAAATACACATCCACATACACAGACACATACAAATACTCAGAGCCATAGACCCATACACACGTGCGCCCGTTTAGACAAGTTTTCTTCCACTGAAACATTCGAGACACGGGCCAGACACCACCCTCAGCCGAGCATGGGCCGGCGGGGAGGGCTGTGCACGAGACGGCTGCGTGAGGTGGACGCCAGCAGCCATGCTTCTTCATCTGTCAAGCCCTGAGATTCAATCGCCTGGAGATGGGCAACGGTGGCTGCGTCCTCTTGCATGCAGAGGTGTTGCTTCCGTGGCATGTAGGCCTTCTTAACCGAGCTCGGGCGCAAATCTTCGCCACGCTGCTTGCGGACCTCGGGACTCACTGGCACGGGGCCAGAGCAGGCCAGTGTGGCGGCCGACGAGCGCTGCACAATGTTGGGGCGAGGGCGATTCTCTTGGCCACGCGGTTGAAGACGAACGTCACGCTTTTGTGCACTGGCGGTGAGACGTTGCACGCTGCGCTCGCGCCGGCGATTCTGTCGATCTTCGGCCCGCCGCTGCGCGGATCCAACAGCGGCTGACGTGAGAGGGCGCGCAACGCGACGAGCGGCAGCCTCGCGCTCTTGGCGGCGCTCACTCCTCGCTGGACGAGGTAGCCGGGTGGCTGATCCAGGCGCGGTGTGTCTGCCAGGCGACGGGCAGGTCAGGGGTACTACATGCTCATCAATGCATGGAAGCGCCAAGAGACGCAGGTTGCTCTGCGGCAACACCATGGTTTCACGACGCGATGACTGGCGACTTTTGGGTGCCGCTTGCAAAGGCCGCGTGTCTGGTGTACGACACTCGACGCTCTCCGGTTGCTCCAGAGCCTGTGCGTTGGCGACCACGCAGGTGTGGCACAGTTGGTTGTCGGCCTGGCCTTCGGGTGCAGACGCCGTTGGTGTCAAGACAAAACGTTGCTGTGTGATACCCAGAAAGACGCGACCCCCTCGCAACTGAAGCTGCATTGCACCCTCGCCGCCACAAATGGCGCCGTGGACCACGCAAAATACACGCGGGGGCGAGTCGGAAAGCTGGTCCTGTGACCCCTGGCTGAGCTCCTGGGTTACCTGGGCTTGGGCTTGCGCATCATGATGTTGGCCCAGGCTTGACTCAAGCGATGTGACTGCATCAGATGCCTCATTGATACTGGGCGTGTTGGATAGAACCTTGCTGGCTGCATCCACGGCGTTCAAGGCTGTTGGGCTTGCGGCAGTCAAGGGATCACCCGCTCGCGCTTCGTCCGTCTCGGCCTCGCTTGAGACCTCCGTCGAGGTTTCGGCATGCTCTAGGAACCAGGTCCGAAGGGATTCAATTAAAACTGTGGTCTTACCGTTGGCTTTGATGCCTCGCGCCTTGGCCAATGCCTGCAGCTCGCGGCGCGGCAGCTCGGCGAGCTTGGTCGCATCCACATCGACATCCATTCGGATGGTTCGTTCGCGACCGCCAATTCAAATTGACGCGGGAAGCTTGTTTCAAACAAAGCTGACAATGCTTTCAACGCAATAAATCCTCTCTGGGCAATTCAAATTTCGTCAGCTTTCGATTTTGATTGTCGACGCATTTTTTCGTAGTGGCGCGAACGAGCGACTGCCAACGGCAACGTCGCCTGTCAAGCCGCCCTTCAGCCCTTCGCACAGGCGCTGCATTTGCCCTTTAGCCGCACATGCGACCTGTCCATGACAAGATAGCAGGTGGACTTGGGTGGTCATCTTTTATCACCTTTTACTGAGCCAGTTGTGTTTGGCAAGGTCGATTCATATTGCAAGACCAAGACGAACCAATCGCAGTGACTGAGGCGAGGCAGCCCAAAGCAGCCAACACGGTGTGTCTGGCCGATAGCCTGGGTGACGGTGGCGCGTGTCTTTCTTTGTGTTTGGAGCCAGGAGTACCTGGTACTGCATGGGCTGTTCATCCAATTGAGAAGAGGCCGTGTTGCGAGTTGTGGGTTGAGCTGCCCTGTGTGAGCATTGTTCTTGGTCTTGTTGTTCGTTCGCCTGCGCTCTGATATCGCTCTTCCAAAGCCATTGCGAATTGTGCCTTTGAAGCATGTTTGACGCAACCTCTATTGCCAAATTGAGCCCCTTTGACACCCCTCCTCACGCCACTCGCTTGCTCCTGTCCCCATGCTGCTTGTTTGCTGTGTGTGTTTTTTTTTTTTGGTCGGCGTGGTCATCTGGCGGGCTGCACGATGAACCTTGAAATGTGAATCAGGTCGATCGGGACTCGCAGAAAACGCGCACTTGATTGATCCAATAGGCTTCTCGCCCAGCGTGTCCCATCAGGTATCGCCAGTGGCACCAGCGCTAGCGTCTGTGGTTCTTGCTCTTGGCACGAGTGCCTCACACGGCTGTGACAGGCCGTTGATCTCAGCGCGTGAGCCTTTGTTTCTGGAGTACCCTTCAACCCCTTGGACTTGGCGCACGAAGACATAGAAAAACACAAACGCCCACACGTCTGTGGCTTTTCACAGCGTCAAGCTCCTACGGTGTCGGGCGGGCTTTAGCCCAACCCAGCCGGTTCACAATGGCGTCCTCTGTACGCTATCGTTTCCAAAACCAGAACGGCTCGGCCGTCATTACCTTTGATGGGCCCTCCATTACACTTGACAAATTAAAGCGGGAGATTATGCGCGTCAACTTCACCCGCGACACCGACTCTGACCTCAAAATTTTCAACGAAGAAAACAACGAAGGTACCGCTTCCCACCCACTTGTGTGCGCCTCCTCCATCAGAACCAAGCATGCGTCCAGAGACATCATGGGCTTGGGCAAGTCTGATATTCACCCTGTCGCGTGACCTCTTGCGGTAGAATACTCACTCAGCCAGCCCGTGTACCGCAATTCCTCAATCATTGTCAAGCGCGTGCCACGAGAGGCGGGCGTCGCCCCTATCCTGTAAGTGCGCGAACGAGGCCTACTTGGTCTAGTCAGACAACGGCTGCAGTGGGACATGCGGATGTGAATCTGACCGTATCGGTTCGTGCTGTCCCCACCGTAGTGATGATCACGAGGAGTCCTTTACTGCGCAGGTACGCACGAGCCCTTGCTACTTCGCCCTGTATCTCTGCCCATCTTCTCTTTGTGTAAGCACGCTCTCACTCCTGTTCCCCATTATTTGGCTTCCCCATTGCCAGGTCCCGCTGACCGAGGATGAACGATTGCGAGCCATCAAGGAGAAGGCAGGCCGGGACTATGAAACAACGTGCGATCATGACCAGCTTGCCTCAAACCCGTGCTCCAGATTCTGCCAAACCTACCTGCTTGCTGCCTGGCGTCGACTCATGCGTTGCCCTTGCCTGGCCGTCTTCTCAATTCAACGCTCGTCTCTATGTGTAGTGGACCAAGCGAGTCGTACATTTGCCGCCATTGCGCGGCCCGAGGGCAGCATTTTTACAACCAATGCCCCCTGCTCAATGTACGCGCCTGTCAGATAGACCATGTCAAGTCGCCTCTGATCAGACTTTCTTGCACCAGCTTAGTTCAATCATTCCGATTCCTGAGTCGCTTGATCTGCATGCCGTTTGAGCCCCACGCACAGCCCTCTTGGTGGCCTTTGCGGCTCTGGCACACTGTTTTTTCTTCGTTGTGGGTCGTTACACACCTTCCTTGGCCAGTCGTTGTGCTCAATCAAAATAAACCTATTCAGGCTCTTGTCTACTCGTTGTCTTCTTCGCTTGCGGTGACGATGGCAGTTTTTGAGATGGTTGCTTCTCCCGGCATGTCCTTCACTCTTCATGATCCGTCGCTCTCCGCCTGGTTTTGCTCCCTGTCGTACCTCGACCCACACCCAAACTCTCAGGATCCGAGCTTCAAGAGCGTATACATTGCAGTGCCCGCGGGCGTTCCCTCCACTGATTTGGAAGTCGTTGAAGATGACAACACGCGTGGAGCCATGATGCGCGCAGACGGCGTTTTAGTTCGGATCAAATCCAGGTCTGTTTGGATCCTGTGTTTGCCGAACAGCCCCCCTGGGCTTTGGCTTCTCACTCAGGGTGCTTTTGAGTAGAGGTCAAGCCAGGAGAAGTGAGCATGTGGATGTGCCCGAGTCCCTGCAATGTCCAATCTGTGGCAAAGCTTTGAAGGATGCTGTCTCGACACCCTGTTGCAACAAGGTCTTTTGCGATCAATGTACGTCCTTCCCTCGGGCATGCACATGAAGTGTGTTCTCGTGACGGTCTGATCTAGCATGGTGGTCAATCTTCTGCATGATGGTCCTTTACCAGGCATTCGTGACTACTTGCTTTCGGAGGAGAACGAGTCACAAGCATGTTTTGCCTGCCAGCGTGAGAATGTCAAGCCAGCCGAACTTTTGCCCAACGACACCGTTCGACGCCAGTTGCGTGCTTATATGCGCGCAATGCAAGAAAGTGCCGACTCACCAGAACCGAAGCCATCTCGTGCCCTTGGGCCGTCTGCTCGATCGATGGGCGCCTCCGCGTCGTGGCAAGACCAAGAAACTCGTCAGCCACACCAGCAACACAACCAGTCTGCACCACAACCGCAGTATTCTTCCTATTCGATGCCACCTCCAGTGTCGGGCAGCAGTGGCGCATTTGACCAGGGTATGAACAGCGGAAACAACAACCACAATGGCAATAACATGATGCCCTCAATGAGTGGCAACCAAATGCCACCTCCTGGCTTTGACAACGACATGGGGCGTGGTGGCATGCAATACTCTATGGGCAGTCGACCACCCAACCAGTTTTACAACAACGGCTTTCCACAGATGGAACCCGGCGTGGTGCCGCCGCCAATGATGAATCAGAGTCCCATGATGCACGGAAACGGCGGCAACATGATGGGCCCCAACATGAACATACCCCCCGGTATGATGGGCCCCAACTTTGGCATGCACATGGGCCCTGGCCCAGGCATGATGAACCCTGGCATGATGATGATGATGGGCCCCAATCCTGGCATGCACATGGGGCCAGGTCCAGGCATGATGGGCCCCCCCGGCATGATGGGCCCGGGCTTGATGAGCCCGGGCATGATGCCCATGGGTCCGGGTATGATGCCGATGAACATGCCGCAAGATCGACCCATGACTAAGGCGCAGCATGCGGCTTTGAACGGTGCGCACGCTCGGCGCCAGCGGCGCGGCAACCGCCCGCCTCATCGCGGTGGTGATGCGGAGTCACGAGATGAATCGAGTGCCCAGCATGCACCTCGTAATGATGGCGCCTCTTTGAGTGATGCCCGGGACCGCGAGCGCGCACCTGAGCAACCCACAGACGCGGAGCGAAATGATGCAAACGTCGATTCTTCTGCGCAAAGCACGCGCGAGGATGATGATCCTCGCCAACGCGACCAAGAGGTTGTTCACGATGAAGACGGACGGGACCGCCCGCACCTTGAGGAGCGGAGGGAATCAGAAGCTCGTCCTCGCGCTTCACAGCGTGGTTCCAGTCGGGAGTACGAGCGTCGTCGGGACGAGCAACGAGAGCGCCGCCGCGACGAAGGGTATCGCGATCGTCGGGATCGTGAGCGAGACCAAGGCCGACGCGGTGAGCGCAGTCATCATAGTGAACGTGATGAGCGCGGTGAACGTGATGAGCGCGGTGAGCGTAGCAGTCAGCGCAGCGAACGTGGTGAGCGCAGCAGTCATCGCAGTGAACGTGGTGAGCGCAGCAGCCAGCGCAGCGAACGTGGTGAGCGCAGCATTCATCGCAGTGAGCGCAGTCACCGAAGCGAGCGCAGCCATCGCAGTGAGCGCAGCCACACTGGGGAGCGCCGTGACCGAGATCGCGACGAGCGCCGTGATCGAAGCCACCGATCAGACAGAGATCGTCATCATCGACGCGAGGACCGCTCGCCGAGCCGACGAAGTAGGGATCAAGATCGGGATCGCCGCAAGTAAATCGACGCAACAACTACCATGTACTTTTTTTCTGCTCATTGTGCCAGTCTTGATTCATCGAGCCAGCCATGTCTGAAAGAGGACTACAGTTGAACTAGAAGCATAACACACGTGGTTTTTCAGCTACGCCAACGTCTTGACATGGGGGCAATGATGCGATAGATCTTGGACAGAGGAACGTCTTCCAACAATGTAGATGTTTTTAATAAACACGGAAAAAAAAATTTCATCCCATGTACATGTAACATTTTCCTATCTAGATTCATTTTTCCCTCTTTGCGGCCTGGGAGCTGCCTAGGAAATGTACATGGTGGCCAGTTTATCAATCTTCAGAAATTCATCGATGGGATGCAATTTTTACACTATTTATTATGATTTAGCCAGCTTTCGGATGCTCATCTCCTCTGACTCCGCTGATATGTGGTTGCCATTTCGGGTCATCCCGCCTCGGCTGGCAGACGGCCAGCGGTGCAGACCTTGATATTAATTTGCCTGCCGATTTGTACATGAGGGCCGATCACTTCCGTTCTTCAAATTCCCAAACAATTTACATTCCTCTCATCAAACCTTTTTCGACGGAGTTTCGCTTCCCCCCGCGACTCGAACTGCAAAAAGTTAAAAAAGTTTGTCTGAGAGATACAAGTACATTGGTTGTATCATTGTACTGTTCCTCTTTTCAAGCAGCAGCAGAAGGTGCGATTGGCGTCGCGGAAGGGCACTCTCAAACAAAACAAAAAAAGGACGTGAAGTTGAAATAACATTAGGCCGCGAGTCCAGAAAATATGACAGTGCTGTGCACCGGCACAGATGAGGCTGCATCAACCTTTGATTTCATTTAGGGAAGCTTGATCAAGTCTCAGACTCAAAGGCTTCATCGTTACCTTGAATGTCCCGGGCCCTGGGGACGGTGTCAGGATCCACTGCCACTTCCGAACGCACCTGCGCGTCCTGAACAAGCTCATCCCATTTGGACCGGATTAGCAGCACGACACAGATGACCGTCAGGAAGGCATAGCCAATGGCCACTCCCAAATACAATCCTTCCATGTTATCACGCCAGTATTTGACGAGGAGGAAAGAAGCGGGGACGTGGACGGCCCAGGAGGCCACGGTAGAGACAATGGCCACGGCGCGACCTCGACCTTGCGCCAGCATGATGCTCTCCATCGTATCGCTGGCGGACATCAGGCACACAGTAATGGCCAGATACATGCGAATGTCCCGAAAGATTGCGAGAACGTTCTCGTCCGAGGTGAAGATGCTCCCAAAGGTGGAGGGAAAGAAGAACACAAAAACAGCTAATGTAAAACTAATAGAGGAGGCAATGCCAGTGCCGAGCCAAGAGGAGCGCCGGGCATCGTGTGCTTGGCCTGCGCCCAAGTATATACCCGTTCGAATGCTGCTGGCCTGCGCAATGGGCCCATCGAGTTCGACCACGAGGCGTGAGCGGAGAATCGGGCGAAATTGGCCCGGGGGATGCGAGACCTACAATGCCGACAGAGATGGCAAACTGATGGGACAAGTAGATGATTTTGTACGATGCATTGAAAGCAGCCAGCTCATCGTCGCCCAGAGAAGCTGCCAACGCCCCTGTCAATGTGCATCGGCAAGTGAGAGTTGAAGCACCTTGCCAGTGGGTACCCATAGGGCAGCGGAGACAACAACGACACGAGCGAAAAGAACGGCGCAAGCGGAGACAAAGCATGGAGGTTGCATAGTGGGGAGATAGATGGTTGCTTGAGCACGCACCGATGGTATTGAAACGCCAAAACTCGGAACCGTTCAAGAGGCTGAAGCCAAATAAAAATGAGAACAGACATGCTGGGCAAAGCGTCGAGTTACAAAATGCTCAACTGCGAGTGCAAAGAGCGACAGCTTACATGGCCGGCAGGTAGAGAGCCAGATAGCGCTTGGTGCGCTGCCAAGTCATTTCGCTCCAAGAAAAGGCAGTCCATGTTGGTGCGTGCCACTTTTTCCATACAAAATAAACGAAAAAAATGATCAGGGCTTGGATGTAAACGGCACCCACGGTGACAATGGGGCAGGCTGAAAAACCAAGGCCACCAAAGCCCGGGATGCCGACACCGAGCACCACAAATATGCACATTAAGAGGTTGAAGGTGAAGGCAAACGCCGTAGCAACAACGCCCGGCGTGGGTTTGTGTTGCGCTTGAAAATAATTCGAGGCCTGCGATACTCCGAGCCAATGGTTGATAAAGGCAACGGATTGATGATGTGAGAGTGGCGGAGCCCCATGGGCCAGTTGGTCTTGGGCTGAGTCCAACCTGATTGAAGAAGATGGTGGCGGGAACGCTGGCGCTAAGAACATGGCTGTAGTAGGCTGCACGTTCCACGATTTCACCATGCTCACGAAAAGCTCGCAAGATGTACTCAGTTACTGCATGGTGCAGCCAGACAAGAGGAACCAGAAAAAAAAAGCAGGAGATCATTGTCATGGAGAGCGCTTAGGGCACATGGAAGGGAAGAGGGTAGGGCTGGCAAGCATTGAGACGCACAATTCCAGGTGATGACGACCGGGATGGCGAACAAGCCCACAATGATGAGGGAGAGCTGGTCCACGAAGCAAAGGTCGCGTTAGCAACGAAGCATCAAAGGCGGTAAGGGTGAGTGCAGCAAGGGCAGGGGGCGGCCAACCTGAAACCAGATGCCCACAAGACGCATGTTCTTGGCGCCCCAGGCCTGGCCGATAAAGGTGCCCAAGACGTTGCCTTGCATGAGAAAGCCAGTCGAGGTCGTGCAAATGTCAGAGAGGCTAGACGCCGAGAGAAATTCCGTGCCGACATGTCCCAATGTTGCAGTATCCACAAGCTTCATGGACACCTGCGGGAGAACACGGTGCCAGCAGCGCGCAAAGAATGAGAGCGGCCCCAGAGAATGTCACGCGATTTTGTCGAGTCAGCTTGAGCGGGCGTCCTTACAAAAGAGGCCACGGAGACAAAGATGGGCATGGCCAAGCCCAATATTTTTCGCGTTTCGGCGCCTAGTGAGAGATGCTGGCCACCCTCTTGGCTTCCGGGCTGCGACTCAATGCTGCCCTCGTCCAGCGCTGTCGACTGCGACCCACAGCGAGCGGGACAGTGTGGACAGAGTGCTCTGAGTGGACCCAAGCCGCCAAAACACAACGAGCCCGCTTGCAGCCATCCTTAAGCAAGCCAAGTTCAAAACTCACTGGTACCCTGGACTTTTGGGCATCGGCCAACAGCGGGGTCTGCTCGTCCCCGACCGAGCCCGGACTGCCATTTTCGTCATGTCGGCTCATTTCGATGGCATCCGCCCAAGCTAAAAAATTAATATCGCAATATTTGTCAGACAAAGCTGTCAGACTAAAATTGTCATCATTTTGGGTTTATGGCACAATGTGAGGAGATTAGATTGTGTAATCGGCTGGTTTTCTGAATATCACGTGTGTGGTGTGTGTGTGTGTGTGTGTGCGAAAAGTGCGTGACACATTCATGAATCTGATAAAATGGCAGCCGGGCATGATGGGTCGTCGGCGTCGGCGTTGAATGTTCTTTTGCGCTGCTTGTGCGAGCGATTTTGGGCTTGTTGGCTTAGGCACTGAATGGTTTCTGTGGTGCCATTGTTGGCCCGCAAGCCAGGGCGTCGGCACACCCCGCGTGCTCATGGAGGTTCAATGGGAGGTCTCATGGGAGCAAAAAGCAACGGCGTGCACGCAGCTCGGATTTCTCACTTTCAAAAACCAGTCACTGCTCATTGCATACACACAGAGAGAGCAACTCACGTGTGTGCCAGTGAGTGTCCCCAAAGTCCCAGGGACCCAAGGCCCCAGTCTCGGGGAGCAGAATCCCACAGCCGTATGCCGTGCCAGGTCTTTTCAAAACAGGAAAATAAAAATGCGAAAAGGCGAAAAGAAAAAAACTGACGTCGAGGCATACCCTTGATTCTCGTCAACCTCGCCGCTCCCAAACCCGCTCTCCCCTGAACCCTCCCTGGACGGGCTCCAGGGTTACTACTCATGGAACAATTCCAATTGTGACGAACAAAAGGGCCCATCAGAGCATGGTTTTGGGGATTGTGCGTTGGTCCCAGCAGTTTAGACGATTGATTGGCAATCCCTTGTTGATGACCCGAAGCAATCGAGGTTTCTCACGTGGGCGTGAACCGCCGAGGACGGTCTGTCCCGGTGCGGCAGGCATGCTGCCGCGCCGCTTTGCAAGCTGGCCTGCGGGTAGTGAATCACAATCCCGATGCCTTCGTATCTCATGAGCCACCGACCTGAATGAATTGCTGCTGACGACCAGTCAATACGTCGCGCGAGGCTGGCAAGAGCATACGAGAGCCCGCACCAGCAGCGAAACAATCCATGTTTTGAGGCGGACGCATGGTGGTTTCGAGAAAACAGAACCCCTTCCTTTGTCAGATGGAAGTTGAGAAACCGCTTTAACCGACCAAACCAATTCATTTCTCTCACATTCTCTCTCTCTCTCTCTCTCTCGCTCGCTGAAGAGGGCAAAGAGGGAAAGTTCGGTCGGAGCCGGGTGGCATTTTCGTCGTGCCCCTCCTCCGCGCCTACCTCATCAGTCAAGACTAGTTTGGCCCAGCTCGACCGAGCGGTACGCACGTGGGCAGCCTCATTCGTCGCCCACCCCAGCATCTCTCTGAAGCAAGCTTGGGCCGACCTCGTGGCCGGGGCCATAAGACACCGTTACCCATGAGCCCGCTCGCCATGTTTCGCGAGTGGCCAGCCACTACGCGACTCGCTGTTGGTATTGCCTGCGCTGCCTTTTTTGCCCACGCTGCCATCATGAACCTTCCCTTCCCCTTTCTTCCTTTCATGATCCAGGTAAGCTGAGCCATATCAAAGGCTTTGCGCTGGCTGCCAATTTCAGCCTATCATACTCATCTCATATTGCAGAATTTTGATCCAACTCATGACAACCTTTGCTTGAACGGCCGTGCCAATAAATGGTGGCCTTTGCAGCGATTCCGACCCCAGGAGAAGGAAAATACGGCTGCCTACGTTGGTCTGGTGGCGTCGGCCTTTTTCTTGGGTGGCGGTGCCACGTCTTACCTATGGGGCTTGGCCATGGATCGCCATGGTCGCCGGCCCGTAGTGCTAGTCTCCCTCTTGGGGCTGGCCTGCACCACCGCTGCCTTTGGTCTCAGTCCGTCCTTGTGGGTTGCTGTCCTGGCTCGGCTCGGTTCTGGTGCCATCACTTCCCTTCCCGTGGCCACCAAGGCCATCATTGCTGATGTAGGTTCTGCTTCACAATTGACAATGCTTGTTGTCCCTCCGTCCCTGTATCTCCATCTCGCCCAAGGCGTTTGCATGCCCACATCGTGCTCTCACTCGCGTCTGCGTTGGTTTAGGTTGTTCCAGCCAAAGATCAAGCGCAGGCCATGACGTTTCTCACGGCCACATGGGGCACGGGCATGGTGGTTGGACCCATGCTGGGTGGCTGGCTTGTCTCACCTCATGCCGCATCCCCCGGCGAGGAAGATCACGGGCTATTTGCCCAGCCGTTCGTTCAAGCTCATCCCTTTAGCCTACCCTGCCTAGTGGTGGCCGGCATCACGGCTGCTATCTTTCTCGTGGCCTATTGGGCGCTTCCTGAGACCCTTCAGGATGAAGACAAAAATGAGGACCAGCAAGAGACAAGCCACACCCACCAGACGAAGACGCTCGACTCGAGCAAAGCCGATCAAGCACCCCTGTTAAATCAACACGGGTCTAACGCTGATGCTCCAGAATCAATCGATTCCGTCCTAATTCCCATTGTAAATGACCGTCCGGTGGCCCCGGAGGTCCTGAACAACGTTCAAAAAGCGGCATACAATAGCCAAGATGTGCCAAGCAGTGGCGGCTTGCTGAGCATGTTCCGTGCCAAAAACTCGCGCTTGACTTTGCTGCTCTACACTGCCTACAGCTTTGCCTCGATTGGGGTCGAGGAGCTACACTCCATTTTTTGCGCAACTCAGGTTGGCTGCGCTCAACGGCTGGCATGGCATGCGGCTTATCCCAATTGTCACTCACCGTGTGTGGACACATTGCACAGATTGCGCGCGGAGGACTTGGCTGGACTTCGGCCAACATTGGAACAAGTCTAGCCGTGATCGGGCTCGTCCTGATTGTTGTCCAGCCCTTGGTCTACCCACTTATGGAGCGGCGCTTGCGCATCATCGGCGCCTTTCGCGTCAGCTGCATTCTTGTGGTGCTTTTTACTGTTCTCTACCCTTGCACCCACATTTTTGCCACATCGTATGCCGGTAGCGGTGCCCTTGTCTGGCCCGTTTTTCTCGTCGTCTCTTGTACCTTCAAGCTTTTTCTGGGTTGTTGCTTCACCTCCATGAACTTGCTGCTCAACAATGCCGTTCCCATGAATTTACGTGGTTCCATCAACGGGTTGAGCATGACGGCGGCCCAAGTTGTGCGCATGATTGCACCACTTATGGGTGGCCTCATCTTTTCGTGGTCCGTCCGTGAGCCACGCGCATGGCCCCTGAATCACCACTTGGCCTTTCTCTTCTTTGCGGCCTCGTACGCCTCAGCATGGTACATTATCCAGCAACTGCCAGCCTCTCTCAACGCGCCCCTGCAGGGAGGCGGCGCTCGTCAAACCTTTGCCCTCAAGTTCTTGGACGACGACATGGAAGCCGCGCCACCTGCATATCTGCCACTGCGCCGTGACAAGGCTGGGCTAGCCACGATCGAGGCTCAGCGCTAGTTTTTGTGTTTTCCTCTGTATCCTCGCTCGTTTCCTTCTTGGTCGTTCCCCTTTAAGCACATCGCAACTGGCTATGCCCGTGCGATGTGGGTCTTGACATGCGTGCTGTAAGCGCAGAGCGCTCGCCTGCAGTTGCAAGATACATTTTGACTCTATGCCTGTCTTTGTCTTTTTGATTTCGCCCCCCCCCTTGAGTTGAGCGCGTCAAGTGCTGTTATCAACCCTTCTTGATTTCCCGTTTGTAACTTGGAGCAGCCATGCCTGCCCGCATAGTGTTTTATACCACGCCGATCCCTGTTTTGCCGCTTGCTGGCTCGAATTCAATGTCCATAATACAGCTGCTTTCGAATCATCTTCTGTCAGCCGTCACATCAAGAGCATACCACACAGAAGAAGTGACTCGTTTTCCTTTGCTATCGCACACACGGGCAACCACTGGTTCAACAAAGTGGTTGTTGCTCAAGCGCCAACCCTCCCTCCTCCCATCATGGCATGGGGATAGTTTGCGCAGTCGCTGCCGGCTGCCGTTTGCTGGTCATGCGCCTAGTGTTGGTTTCAAGGTCTTGACTTTCAAGATGGTATGTTGAAAACAACTGTTGTTGATGAAACTTTCTGGCTGTTACCATTTTTCGTTGAGCGCCGAACAACGAGACAGTGCGCACCGAGGCGGGCCGAGCGAGCGCACATTGGCTCACGTTTGTGTGAAGGGGCTTTGCCGTTTGGTGGTGGCGGTGGCGGTGGTGGTGGTGGTGGTGGTGTGCATTTGATTGAGGAATTCTAGGGTTCGACTTGTACACTTCCCTTCTTTTTATCACACTTGCAGACCGCCGCCATGGACGACGAAGCTGAACGGTATCGCTTGTACAAAGTCTGGATCACCCTCAAACAGGTAGATTGCACCTTGGAGCACTTTGCAGCGACTGGCTCTCCAGTTTCGGTGTGCCACGGTGCGATGATTGACGCTCGTCAAAACGCGCCTCCGTAGATGTGCCATGACCGTGGCTTTCGTGTTACACAAGAGATGATGAACATGACCTTTGACACTTGGAACGAAATTTACGGCGAATACCCTCGGTACGAACGTCGTGATTCCACCGGCAGTGCGCGTCCAATGAGGGCCATCACGATGGCGTGCGCAGCTCAACTTGACGTATGGTCAAAATACCTCAGAAAGGAGCTATCGTTTCCCGTGCAAAAGGTGGACGACGACAACGGTACGTTCTGCTTTGCTTTGCTTTGCGGCACGCTGAGCCCGCTCGACCCACCTCATGCCCTCGTTTACCCTCATGCTGTTGCGTGTAGACGGCTTGTTCGTCTTCTTTCCCGAGTCACCCGACGTCAAGGTGGCCGCCATCAAGAGGTAAGAACTTGATGACGCGAGAGTCTGGTCACACTGCCGCGGTTCCTTTTGATCATGCACTCATTGATGACCCACGCTTTTTTGAATCATGCGATGCTCAGCCTGTACGATCGTTTGAAAAGCGACAATCTGCGACGAGCCATCATCGTATACCAGCGCAAGGTGGCGCCTGTGGCCAAATCGGTGCGTGTGCCATCATCAAAGGGCCCATCTATCTCCTCTCACCGTTCCCTCAGGTCACTGGCTGCCACGGCCAGACCTTTCTTTGTTCATAATTGTGAAATTTTTGTTCCCTCCCCCTGTAGCATATCGACATCTTGTTGAAGGAGGACCCACCGTACATTGTTGAAACTTTTGCAGAGGCCGAGCTGGTCTACAACGTGACCCGCCACCATGTATGTGACGGTCACCTTCAACAACCGTTCCATTGTTGAGCATGGTGCCGAAATCATATCCTTTCTTTGCTCCTGACCTTCATTTGGGCTTGATGTGGTTTTTCTGTTCATATTATAGCTGGTCCCACATCACGAGATTTTGAAGGAGAGCGAGAAACAGCAACTGCTGGAGCGCTACTGTGTGTCCGAGGACCGCCTGCCCCAGATCCAGCCCAATGACCCCGTGTGCCGCTACTTTGGCGCACAAAAAGGACAGGTTGGTTGCCCATGATCTCCGCTGCAAAGGCCTTGACGTGTCCATCAATGAACCGCCATGATATGATCATTACGTGTGCATTTGCAGGTATTGCGCATCGTCCGCAGCAGTCAAACCGCAGGCCGTTATGTCACCTACCGCATTGTCGCCGATATCCTTTAATCGATCCATTTCCTGTTTTATTTTCGCTCTTCTCTTCTCCGCGTTGCCATGCCGATGCCCATATCCACCCCCTGTCCAGGGCCCTTGAGCCTGATGTGTTGCTTGGGGAAAGTCAGGTTGGTGCCTTGTCTTGATTTTTTCATGTTAAGCAATAACAAGAAAACCAAAGGAAATCAAAGTGAAACGGGAACAGTGGATTTGTTCAGGAGGATGGTGTGTGGCAGTCCAGATTAGCGAAACCACATGCTAACCGAGAAGCTCGTACTCAGGCTTTGAACATAATGCCACCAACCCTGCGGAATAAATAGCAAATCGCCCGGACCTAGAATTGCCTCCTGGTCAGATGTGTGCACCGGTTTGAGGCAGCGTGAGAAGCAGTCGCAGGTGATGGGATTCGCTTGGTGCAGTTTCCGTCACTCGAGTTGAAATATCATGCAGCAAACGCACCCAACAAGGCACATCTTGGACCAAGGGAAACGCAGCTGGGTCCGGCGCCACCACATTGGCCTACAAGGGTCAGGTGTCAGGTATTGTGGTCGCAGCGACCCACGGCTAGGTCTGGCACATTTGCAAGCAAACCTGACTGGTGTTGCTGAGCAAGCCTTCGCACGGGTAGAGTTGCGTGGCAGCGCGTGGTTCAAAGAGCCGCACATACTTGTAGCCAACCACCTAATCCTCGGCCAGCCTCGTCAACAGACACAAGGACAGTAGAAAAGCCGGCAAAAAGCCAGCCGTTGCAGGCACGCAAGTTGACCGACCTGTGCCAAAAGGTTGTCGTCAGGGTCTTGGTGACATGGACTGACTGTGCCCTGGGGGCCAAACCAAGCGTTGATCTGACCCGTTGGAGAAACACAAAGCACAGGGGTGAGCATCTTGAGCAAGTGGATGCACAGACACAGAGACAGAGACAGAGACAGAGACAGAGACAGAGACAGAGACAGAGACAGAGACAGAGACAGAGACAGAGACAGAGACAGAGACAGAGACAGAGACAGAGACAGAGACAGAGACAGAGACAGAGACAGAGACAGACACAGACACAGACACAGACACAGACACAGACACAGACACAGACACAGACACAGACACAGACACAGACACAGACACAGACACAGACACAGACACAGACACAGACACAGACACAGACACAGACACACAGAAGCAGATACAGAATGTTTGAACGGCTGCCCCGTGTGACGCTCAGTCTGCAGGCGTGTCGATGGACTGTTGCATACCCGAAGGGACTGCGCACAATAGCAGTAATCAGGAACCACAATGTCGTCCCGCAGCTCGGGTACTTGGTCAAAAAGGGGATGTTGGGCCAGGTAGCCGACACTATCCTCCTTGTCTGTGTTACAAGTCATGGCAGTTTCTGCAACGGCTTCGCTTGATATCTTGCTGGACGCTTCGTGCTTGGGGCGTTTGGGCGAGGGAGCGATAGGGGTGTCAAACACGGCGGTTAAAAAGTCTGTCAAGGTCATGAGCCGCTGCGACCACCCGTCCCCACGATAATCACGACCCCATTCTACAGGGATCGTGCGCTGTCCGGCCAAGCGATCAAAATAGGAACGTGATTGCCAGCGACGCACCGCGGGCCAATTGCCCACCGCCCCGGCAAAGATGGCAGGCCGACCCTCGGCACGTAAGCAAACAAACTGCTCGAGGTCAGGGGGAGGAGCAGCCAAGAGACGGCGTGCCATCACGGGGCGGAAGAAGCCAGCTGTGATGGGGTGGCGACGAGGATCCTTGGCACCCCTTAGCTCCAGGTTGGGCAAAAGTTTGTCCTCGCTCTCATCCTGATCACACCGCTTTGGATCGGTGTGGCTGGTCTTCCTGGCGCTTTTGTTGCAGGAGAGGGCGTGCAAACTCTGCACTTGTGACGCAAGTGCGTGAACATCCAGGGTTTGCAGCAGGCGAGTCCTCGCTGAGTCGCTGCTTTCCACGCCAGCTGACGGCGTGGTGTAGTCAGCCCCCATCATGATGCCACGATCCAGGCGCGATAGGATGCTGCGCAGGGTCGTGTCGTTTGCCGCGAGTCCTGATCGTGTGTCCTCGACCGCGATGAGCTGCTCTAGGGCTTGGGCATGACAACAAAGGCGATAGAGAATGCGCCAGGCCACCGCAACCTCGTTCCAGCGGGTCGCGTAGAGCTGCTCATGGCACCGCTCGCCAAGGATACGCCAGAGATGGCGCCGGTCTTCTGGCTGAGTGCTTCGTCGTGTCGCATGCCGGAACAGCCGGGTCAGTGACGGCTGCTTCAGTGCCACGCATAGAGGCTCAAGTAGCACAGCCCAAACACCATCCACCCCCACATCAGCGCCCTGCGGCTCATCCAACTCCAAGAGCACGTCCAGTTGTGGCTGCACCATCTGCCGAAGCGTCGCCGCAACGGCGTTGGCCATGACCACTTTTTGTCTGACAATTCACCGGCAAGAAACGGTTCGAGAAGATGCAGCAAAATCTCTACATCTTGCGGTCTTGTATCGACCCTTATAGTGACTTTATGAAGTCATTTGGGCAGTTTATGTTGATTACGACATCGTCGTGTTGCTCGTGAGTGGGGAGGGGGTTGACGCTGCTCTCGTGAGAAAGAAAGTTCGATGGCGAGCGGGTGATATGGCAGCGCGTCCCGGGCTGTGTCTTGCCGAGGCTGCTTGCCTATTGTGGCGACCAGGGCCAGTTTGCATGTGAACCTCTCCATTATATTTGCATACTCTGATCGTACTTCCATTTCCATGTGAACTTTAGTCTTACCGTGGTCGTCTGCTGGGAGCCGTGTGGAAGTGGAGTCGACGGAGCCCACTGCAAGTTGCTTTGAGGATCAACACTCGACGTGCAGCTGGGCTTCATTGTCTGACTGTCCTTACAACACTGGATTGGGAAGAGGCCATCGGCGGTGGCTTCCTGTGCTGCGTTCTGGGGCATTTCGTTTCTTGCTTTCAACACGCTCAATCATATCCCAGACTTTCTGAGTTGGTAAACACCAGTTTTGGGCAAGCTGTCGGGTGACGACCCACGGCCAGTCCACCATGGCCCGAGACTTTCAACGGCAGGCTCTTGTGAGCCTTGGCGTAGCCATGTTGTTGAGCCTTTTGGGCATTGATGTCATGTAAGCTCGCTTGCTTTCTTTGAGTCAGCCATCACCGCGCAAGCAGACTCTCATTGCCCCGACCATCGGGTTCTTGTGCCAACCAACCCTCGCTTTGACGTGTCGCTCATGGCTCCAGGGATATGGCATGTGCTTTGGCCGGCGGGGCCTGGACATATGTCCTTTTTACTCTGCCACGTAAACAGCTGGCGCACAGCTGCGCCGCCACGGCCGTGACTAGCGACAGCTCACCCGTCCAGCTCCAGGTGCGTTCTACTGGCACTTTGCAATTCTCTTTTCCTTCCTCCGTTAACCCAGGATCATATCCCTAGGACAAGCCTGGACAGCCCACAGAGGATGATGTGGCTGCTGCGCGTGCACGCCTGGGGCGCCACCGTCTCGGTGCCTGGTTTTTGCTGTGGGCCTCTCCGTTGCTGCTGTACCTCGGACTCGATCTCGTCACACGCCAACCAGCAAGACCTTTTTTTTGTTACCTGCTCAACCCAGCTCTAGTGGGCATCATCAGCGCCGTCTTTGTAGTTTACGAGGCTCAACAGGCTGCACAACTGAGCATTGAAGCCGCCAGCGCACTTTTGCAGCGTGTGAGTCAGCCCCAGGTCAGTCCCTAGTGGTGCTTGTCATGCCTCGCTCTGCAAGACCTTTCTTGCTTCATATGAAATGTCAACCTCAGGCAACCAAACGGGACATCGATCAGATGCGACACCTTGAGGCGCGCGTCGAAGGTCTTACTGAGCAAGTTCAGGTCTGTTGACTCGCTCTCGCTCCTGCCCCGATCCTGGCTTGCCAGCCCGCCGCTTATAAGATGTAGATTTGCCCACAACGCCTAATCATGCCTTTTTTTTTTTCCTTCTTCTTTTTCTTTCTTTTTGTTTGCTTGTGCCTATCAGCGCTGCATCAATGCCACCCAACGTCTGCAGAGCACCAACGCGGGGTGTACAATGGACCAAAGTTCGGACAGCAAAACTCTTTTTGATTTGCAAGTCCGTGTGGCTCTTTTGGAGCAAGCCTTGGCCTCGACACCGTCCTTGGCCACGCCAACAACAGTAAGATTTATGTTGCCTTGTAATCCCTGCCGCGTAAAAATGACAACAGCATCTTCTCCTCCCTCCTTCAACTCATCAGTGTTGCCAACTTTTCCAGCCCTCTTTGCTCGGTATATTGCTGGCTGTGGAGTTGCCCTGGAACAAGCTCACGCGCTTGTACGCATGGAGTCGAGCCAATGCTGCGCAACGTCAATCTCATGTGTTGGCCACAACGCCCACTCCTGTCGAGCGCAAGGCTTCAAGTCTTCGCGACTCTGGCGTCCACTTGGCTGAGTGCCCGCTGGTGCCCGAGTTGGCGAGCCCATAGACATGTTAAGATTCTGTGAAACGACCGCTTGCGGTCTTCCATGCATGTTCATGATGTTGATGCTGATTGGCACGACATGGCACGGCCTTTGTTCGAAATAAAATTGATTGACTTCCAGACGAGCGGCTCTGGTCTTGCCTGCGCTGCCAACTCGGATGGTTCAATGTGCGCACCCGGTCCAACAGCGTCAGGGTTGAGGTCGTGTTTGTGGCTCAGCCACGGCATTCTCCCGATATTGGGTGCTGGGTTCCACTTGTAAGGGTCGATGTGACGCAACTGGAAATGCCGACAAATCCCATCCCTGGCTGCGAAAGTGCGTGGCCAGCACGTCAGCCACATCGTCCTTCTGTTTGAGTGCTTCGCCACATCCTTGCTGCAAGGCAGTCAACTGGAGGCGGTGATTACGGCGAGGTCGCGCGACGTGAGACGAGGCCACCGCGCACTCATAAGCCAGGGCATGCGGCTGATGGTGGTTTGGGACGAATGCATACCGCCTCGTCGATATCAGCGTCAAGCATGGGGCGCGCACGCACGGCAGCGGCGTGAACCATGGCCAAGAGCCGCTGTTCCATGGAGGCATTGGTGTGAAACCAGACCCCCACGCGATCGACTATCGTGTCAAGCAGGATGGTGGCGGTGTGCGATGAATGTCAGCCTGGGTGTGGCCACCACAGCTTCGGTCGAGAGCGCACCTGTACTCAAAAGCGAATAGCCGATAAAATGCCTCATGCTTTCCTGTCGCATTTTTCAGAGGATTGCACAGCAAAGTAGGCCTGTCAGACAACCTATGACGTTCAAATCTCGTCTCACTTGCCCTCTGGCAAGCAAATACGAACCAGCTGTTGGAGGGGTAGCTGGCGAAGGTCGGGCTCAAGCCAAAGGGCACGTGGTAGCGATGAGTGGAAGGGAAGGACAAACTGCTCCTGACTTGCCACAATTTGTGGAGATAAAAGCTAGTCGAGCATGGGCGAGGCGGCCAATGGCACAGATCGAGTTTTTGCATGCATCAAGGTTGAGGCGGCGCAATAGCATGGACTTGCCAGCCAGGATCGGGTCCCGGGACTCACTGGTGGGTGGTGGCCGTACGTTTGGTCCGGTGACGCCAAATCCTGTAGCCATGGGTGCATGGCAAGCTCCAGGCGCTGCTCATTCAACGTGCTCAGCACCACGTGTTTCGAGGACAAATGATTAAAGTAGAGGCATGCCAGCGCAAGGGGCACGAATGCTGGAATAATATTTGTCACATCACTCCCAGTATGAGTTGAGACGAAAATGCCCAAGGCGGTGCCCACGACACTGGCCCCGATGGACTGCGCTCCAATCTTGGCGGTGATATCCCCTGTGGTTTTAGATGACCGGCGGGTAAGCAAAAATGTCAAAGCTTGCGCTGCGGCCAGGGGCTTCGTGCGTGAGGAGCATGACTTGGGCTCTGACCAAGGTTGGCACGGCGCACAAAGCTAGCATGCATTTGAGCTCGAGTGGCAGAAGAGGCCAGAAAGGAAATATTCTTGGCAATATTGGCCGCCGAGGCCAAGGGCAGGAAGAGGTGAGGCACGAGTGGAATCAAGAGCTCAGTTAGATTGGCGCCCTGGTGGCAGGGCAAAGGCAGTGGTCAGACTTGGGTAGGTGGCCACATCTGGTGTTAGCAGGTGCACCCTCGTGGCGCACGGAAGGCAGGGCGAGTTTGCGACTCACTTGGAGGGCAACGAGGGACCAGAAGCGCTGTCGCTTGGGGTCACGGTCAAACCGTGGCCCGAATAAAGTGCCGTACAAGACACCACCAAGTTGCCCGAGACCGTCCTTCAGCACCCAGTTTATTGCAGCGGCCAGTGGCACCGATCCTAGCAGAAAAGAAAGACATCTTGATGTCAGCTCTGGCCGCTTTTGGCTGATGCAGACAATCAAGACATGTGACAGGAAATGGTTGTGGCAGCCATGTACCTGCACCCAAGCCAGCCGCATAAAGAAGGGCTTGCATGGAGAGCACACCGCTTGCCGTCATCGAGGCCATGTGCAAGAATTGCCACTAGTGTCCATGCAGTAGTGTGTGGGTCAGGTTTACCACGCATGCGAGGCCCAAGGAAAGAAGCAAGCGGGCGGGGGTGGGGGTGGCTGACCTGGCAGTACCGCACAAATGTGGGGCACACAGAAGCCGGGTAATCGACGGGCAGGAAAGCGTGTTGCTAGCATTGGAGCGCAGGTCGAGGGAGCCGCAGGCAATGCACAAACGCACGGGCATGGTGATGCCGTTCCCATTTACAGACGCTGGTTATGATCAAGAGCCAATTCGAGAACGGACATCAGATCAACCTCACGCCTCCTTACCAGAACAGCTGTGGTTCGCTCCTGCCAGCCGGGTTGGGGGTGACTCACGAGCCGTATGCTACCCTCTACCTCATCGGCATCTTGCTGAAAAACCTGCCAAAAATTTGTCTCTTGAGAACATGTCGTTCAAACGGACATGCTGGTACCCGCTGAGGAGCATAGGTTCGTACCGCCTCCTTCGAAGCCGACAGCTTTTGTCGCACTACAAGTGGTGGCGGCTGCGGCCGACCTTCACACATTGACTGCACCATTCGTGCGCAGAGTAGCCGTTGACTCTGCCATTTACACCACCTGCGTGCGCCACACCGCACCGCGAGCCACATGACGACCAACAAGTCGTCCTGCGTTTGAAAGCCCCTCCCCACCTCCCTCTTGCACACCGCCACAGGCTCGCCGAGCTCCTTGCCACCTCTCCACCGGCACCTCCTCTTTCGCGTATTTGAGGTGGAGAGATGATTAAAAAATGTCTGACGTTTGATTGAGCGAAGTCTGCTGTTTTATCTCTCAAATCGGTCTCCATCCCCACCCTCTCTCTAATTTGTGTGCGTATGGCCTCTAACTTAATCTCTGTCTCTAAGTCAATCTCTGTCTCTGTCTCTGTCTCTACCTCTGTCTCTGAATTTGGCTCTCTCGTTTTTCATTTTTTATTTTCATTTTTCATTTTTTTTTCATTTGAGAGGTGAGATCGTCGCTTCAGACGTGCGAGGCGTGGCCATGTTGGGCTGGGGAGGAGAAGGAAAGTGTCGGTGAAGGCAGGCACGGGTGTTCAGGGCTGGTCGGGGGAAAAAGAATCAAGTGAGCCTCGTGTGATGCGTCTTGGGCTGACATTTTGGCTTTGGAACAGAGAGAGATCAGAGAGATCGATCAGTAGGATGCCGCGTGTCGCCGTGGTAGGTAGCGCCGGCTACTTGGGGCGCCGACTTTATCAGCGCCTTCAAACAGAGGGCTATGAAGTTGTGGGCATCGATTTGGCTACGGGGCCAACCACAGACGTGGTTCTCGACATCAATCAGACGGAGACACTGGCCGATGCGCTTATGGGTGGGTAGTTGGCAGGCATGACCCGCACACAGGTCCGATCTTTCAAAGACCATTCACCGAAATCCCTGGACGTGTGTGGCCGTGTGCAGGCATTGAGGCCGTGTTCCACACCGCGAGTATCATTGATCTAGCTCCCGCACCCCCGCCGCTGCTGGAACATGTCAACGTCAACGGCACGGCCAGTGTCATTCACGCTTGCCAGCGCGCTGGGGTCTCCCACCTCATCTACACAAGGTCAGGCCATGCCAAAGGCCTCGCCCAACTCCGTCAATATCTCGCTCATTCAAGCCTCTGCCTCGAATCTTTCAACTTGTCGATACAGCTCAATGGACGTGGTTTTCTCGGGCACACCCGTGTGTGAGGGCACGGAAGAGCTGGCCACCCAACCCCACTCGCGCTATAACGGCTACGTGCGCACAAAGGCTCGCGCGGAGCAGCTCGTGCTTCAAGCCAATGAAGCAGTGCGTTGTTCAGGGGCAGCATCTGCTTTTGCATGGTCAAAGCCGCCGCTCAGTGCCCTCGAAGACAGCAATGCTCACTGCCGTGCGGCGCGCTATTGGTTTGTCCCTCAGAACCTCACGACCTGCAGTCTCCGCCCAGCTCACATTTATGGTCCCGGTGCGTTCATCTGCTCTTGATGGCGGCGCCCCCCCTCCAAAATCCCACACACGGACTGAGGCTCATCTTAATTTGGCTTGCTCTTGGCTTTTCGTTTTGATGCTCAACCCTTGGGGTAGAGGATGAGATGATCGTGACTATTGTGCGGGAACGAGTCAACGACCGTCTGCCTGCCGTTTTCAGTGCCGGCCGCCAGGCTTACGTCTATGTGGAAAATTGTGTCAGCGCCCACGTGGATTGCGTGGAACGACTTTTAGCCGGTCACACCGATCAAAGTGCGTTCTTTCTGATCTGCGTCGCGCAAATGTTCAAACGTTCCGATGCTTGCAGTTTTGGCTCACAAAGCTGCGTCTAGTCGCTGGAGAAGCTTTTTTTATCTGTGACGACAACGTGGGCGTGTGGACGCACATGGCACCCATCATGGCCGCTGCGGGCACTACCGTGCCCCAGCAGCGTGTACCCGTGGCCTTGCTCTCCTTCATGACGATTTTTGTGGACCTTTTCTGTCACTTGGTCTGGTTCTTGTGTCGTGTCCCGTTGAGACCCGTCATCACCAGCTACACTGTCTTGGCCATTGGCATGGAGTATTCATTCTGTTCCGATAAAGGTACGCTGTTGTTCCACAGAGTCTTCATCCTATGCCTTGTGACCTGGACGCAAAAGGGCTCCTGCCGTACGCGCGCCTGGAACCGTGCTCATCACCTGCGTTTGTGTCTTTTGGTCAAATTGATAGCCAAACGTGCGTTTTGGACCACACCTTCTGTACCTCGTGCCGAAGCCATGGTGGCAGTCAATGCTTGGGCCCAGACGCTGGATTTGCGTACCCCTGATCCTCGTTCCACGCAGCTGCAGCTGCTTCATCGTTTCCACCTGGTGTACGGCTGGTGTCTTCTCGTCGGGGGCCTGTATGCCTTCATCTGGCCCGCAGAGAGTGCCGCCTGGTTTAATGTTCATGTTGACCCCTGGCCAGCCAGCGATGCGGTCATTGCCCAAACGGCTGGGTTGATTTACCTCGTGCTCGGCTCGTACAGCGTGGTGGCAGCCATGGGCGAGTGGACCGAGCTCTTCTTCTCAATCCTGTGGATCCCCAAGGTTCTAACCAGTCTGCTGTATGTCTTTCAAGTTTGGTGCGGCAACCTTCCTGGCGATTTCCTGGCACTTGCGGCACTCGAGTTGGGCGCGGGCATCTACACGGCTGCTCAAGTTGACCTGACCTTGCCAAGCCGCGCGCCTCGTTTCTGCGACTGGCTCACCCTGACTCAGCTCGGGCATGGGTGCGACCTACTAGCTTCACCCGTATTTGATTGACAGGGCACACATGTTGTGCTTGGTCCGACAAACTCCACCTAACATCACTCTGCTGACAAACGAAACTGCATGTTTGAACTTGATAGTGTGCTCTCTGGTCTCTTTGCACTTGCGCTGGCTTTTGCCCCCCGTTACTTTCTACCCCAGCTTCTGCCCATGGATGCACCTGATTCGTAAGTGTGGCTAGGCACGCAGTCCCGAGTTTCTGATAACATGCACCCGATTTGCTTCCATGCAGGGTGTTCTTTGGTCATGTCATTCATCACGAGCGTGCACTTGATTGGGGGTAGGGCATCTGCCGCCGCCATTTTTGGGCATGTCATGGGCATCGCTGAAACCACCATGACGGTGGCCTACACGCTGTCTGGCTGCGGTGTGTGCTTTCAAGCCTGAAGACATTCATGGAGTCTTGTTGTTTCAAACCCTGACAGGTGCTCACGATCTGATGCCCCGACCTCTCATCTGTCGCACGCTTCACGTAGTGGCTGGCCTTGAAAACTTTGCGTGGCTCTCGGTGGCCAGCCGGGCAAGCGCCCTGTTGTTGATTGGCACCGCCTTTGTCCTGAATCGTGCCACAGAGGCGCAGCTCGGCGGTGTGCTGCCAGATGTGCTGTTGGCTACCGGCACCTTATTCGTGCTTCGCAATCGCCAACGCAGGCTCCACGGCGCCCACTAGTCGACCTCTTGTTCGTCGTCGCCACCGGCTTGCCACTTGCTGGCGGTTCTCCTGTACAAGCCTTTGTTGTCTGAGAGTCATGCTCGTCAAAGGCAGGGATCGGCTCATACGACTGGAGTGTACCCAAGCCAATCTTGTGCCACACGGGAATGCTGCTCATTTCATAGTTGATCTTGCCGCAACTCTGCCGTGCTTTTTCTTTCTTTCTTTTTTGTTGTTTTGATTACGCGGGGTGTCGATTTTGTTTCTGACTCAAGCTGACACTCCCCTGCTCCGCGCTTTCATGCCCAAGTCAACCTTGCCCCTTTTAATCCAGGTCCAACTTGTAATCCCTGCCCTCCTCTTTCTCTCGTGCACATCCATCCATCCATCCATCCAATAGCTCAAAATGCGTTTTCTTTTGGTCCCTTGGCTATTATGTGTGTGCGTCATTCGTCATCATTTCGTGTTGTCACATTCGTCCTCTCTGCTCCTGCTTCCTCTCCTGCCTCTGGCTCCATCTTGAGTTTCGTCTCTGTCTCTGACTCTCTTTGCGTTTCCATCTAATTTCTCTGCCTCTGTATCTTTGTGTCTCGTGTCTCTGTATCTTTGTCTGAATCTATCTGACTCTCTGCCTGCGCCCCGACGCATTCTCTCTCTCTCGCTCTCTTCTCAGTGTGTGTGTGTGTGTGTGTGTGTGTGTGTTTTTATTTGGAGGCCCGGGCCGTCGCGTGCTCGCTCCAAAGCATAAACGTCGGCGGCACCAGGGGCTGTCGAGTGAATGTCCTTCAAAGACATCCCGGGGAATAGACTCGTTCCACGGAGTCTTGCGTGCGGGCGTGTGTGTGAAAGGGTCGTGCGCACGTTCAAGTTGGCCTTGTCCCGCCCACTTGACCGGGCAGGCTGCCAGCTGCCCCGGGCGCAAGTTGCGTGCGTTGTGCGACACTCTGATCCACCAGGGACTCCATCAGCATCAAACTAGGCATTTGGCATCCAACGTCGCCACCAATCATGGACGACAGTGCCCCCAGCTCCGGCGCCAGTAGCTGGATTGCCCACTTGCCGGTGCTTTTGCAGGCCCTCCTCATCACAGCAGTTTGCCTGTTACCACTTCTCGAGCTCAACTTTCTGTTTCTGGTGCGCCCTGATGCTCACCTGGTCGCACTCCTTTCAACTCCGCCTCAAATGCCATTCACCCTCTGCTTGCTCATTTTATGCTTCTCTTCCCCATCGCTCCGCCCCGAGCAGAACATCAGTGTCCTCGAACCCGAGTATGCTCTCGTGTACATTGCCGCAGCGGCATCCATCTGGCTTGTCAGCCTGATTGTAGTTCTCCGGTACGCCTGTCTTCTCTTTTGTCCTCCTTATGTTGTATCATACCAAGTGCAGACAACGTGCCTCACGCCCTTTGCACTTTAGACGCACTCAAACCAAAAAGCGCTTCCCAGCTCCGCCTGCTGCAACGCCCAAATCCGACCTGAAGAGCTTCGGCGATGACGACGCAGCACCAAAATCATCGGGGCGCTTCCGGCGGGCCGCTGTGGTAGGGTACAGCTTTCGCTTCCCTGGCGATGTATGCAGCCCTGAAGCTTTTCTGGAGCTACTTCTGGCCAAGCGCGTGGTGACGGAGCCGATTCCTGCCAGCAAGTGGAGCACGCACCGCTTCGCTGCTAAAGCCAGTGAGATTGGCCGTTTTTGCCTTGCCAAAGTTGGTTTGGTCGCGAGCTCCGACCAGTTTGATCCCGCTTTTTTCAGCATCTCCGCCCAGGACGCATATGGCATGGACAATCAACAGCGCGTCTTTCTCATGTGCGCCATCGAGGCACTAAACCGCGCCGGCATCCCACATGAAAGTTTGCGCGGTAGTAACACCGGCGTCTACGTGGGTACCTCCGTCATGGAGTACCTCGCCGCCAACATGGGTAGCCCCGCTGCCCTCCATGCCCACACCAATCCCGGCTTGGCGCTCTGCGTTATCGCCAATCGCGTCAGCTTCTTTTTAGGCCTACGGGGCCCCAGCATGGCCGTGGACACGGCGTGCGCCAGCTCCATCACTGCGCTGGATCTTGCCACCAAAGCCATCGAGGCGGGTGAATGCGAAATTGCCATCGTCGGCGGCACCAACAACCTTCTACTGCCCGACCTGACTGTAGGCTATACTCAAATGGGCGTCACTGCCGCGGACGGCTGCAGCAAATCCTTTGATGCCCGTGCCAACGGCTACGCTCGTGCCGAAGGGTACGGTTGCGTCGTGCTTCGCGCCGAGCAGCATGCGCGCCGTGCCAACAACCCGGTGCGTGCCCTCGTGGCCGCCTGTCGTTCCAACGCCAACGGCGACCTCACCGCCGGGCTGACCAAGCCCTCCACGGAAGCCCAAAAGGTTTTGATTGAGCAAACTTGGGCGGTTGCCGGCATACCACTTGAGGCTGTCACCTACGTCGAAGCGCACGGTACCGGTACCGCCGTCGGCGATCCTCTCGAAGCTACCGCCATTGGACAAACCTTTGGCCTGGCAGCCAAGGCGGACGGCCGCCCTCCTGTTCCCATCAGCTCCGTCAAGTCTACGCTCGGCCACATGGAGCCTGCTGCCGGGATGGCATCCATTGTCAAGGCTTGCTTGATGATTGAAAACCGCCTTCTTTTTCCCCAGGCCAACTTTGAAGTGCCACACCCCGATGTCAACTGGAGCGCCCTTCACATTGCAGTTCCGCAAGCCGCTGTCAAGGTTCCTGCCCACGAGCGCATGGCCATTGCCATCAATGGCTTTGGCTTTGGCGGCTCCAACAGCCACGCAATTCTTGTGCAGCCCGACTTTTTTGCTGATGAGGATGCAGCACTGCCACTGTCGGATTCGGTTTCTGAAGTAACCAGCAGCGACGATGCCTCGTTGCAGCACCCGGCCCAATCAACAGTGGCCTGGACATTTGGTGGCGTGAGTGGGGCTCCTCAAGGCTCTAGCGGCCCTGCTCAGGTGCTCCTTCCCGTCAGCGCGGACAGCGGAGCAGCTCTTGAGAGCCTTCTGGAAGCCTGGGCCTGTTATAAGAACGCTTCAAATGACGCGCGTGCTGTAGCTGCGTACGCCGCCGTCTCACGCAGCCACCTTGTCCATCGTGCCTTGGTCGTGGCCAATGGGCCGCAGTCATTCCGCGTCGCTGCTGCGGGTACGAGCACCGTTCCCGGCTTTACTCAGGGCGCGCTGATACGTGGCAAGGTCTCTGCACGCAATCCCGCCGTCGTCTTGATCTTTGCAGGCCAAGGCACGCAGGATTTTGACATGGGCCGCGACATGTACCGGACCTACCCACTTTTCCAAGAGACAGTGGATGAGTGCGACCGTTTGTACAACGTTTGTGCGGGACACTCTTTCCTCAACCACACCGGTCTCTTTCGCGGTGATGCCTGCGTTGACGGCTTGGATATCAACCGTCCAGACGTGGCGCAGCCAGCCATCTGCTTCTTCCAGATTGCTTACGCTCGCTTGCTAAAGTCGTGGGGGCTGCAGGTCACTGCCTGCCTGGGCCACTCGGTGGGCGAAGTGGCCTCGGCCCATTTGGCGGGTCTTTTGACTCTCAAAACTACCATCCGCCTCATCTACACTCGCGGCCGCCTGCAACAGCTCACAGAAGGGGACGGCGGCATGTTGGCCGTGCTTGCTAGTGCGGAGCGCACACGCGAGATTCTTGCGGCGCGGGGCTATGCCGCCACTATCGAGCTCGCTGCCATCAATAGCTCCAATTCAATCACCTTGGCTGGACCCAAGGCGCAAATCCTTGAACTCAAGGAAATTCTCAAACACCAATATGGCATGAAGAGTGTGGTGCTGCAGGTCAATTGTGCCTTCCACTCATCTCAGATGGAGCCTATCAATGGCAAGCTGCACCATGAATTGCGCTTTCTTGTTCCCGCGGCTGATAGTTCTGCGCGGGTGGGTGTTTTCGCCTCCTCTGCGCTGGGCTGCGTTCCAGAGCGACCGGCCAGCAAGGTGGCCTCCCCTTCCTACTGGTGGGATAATGTGCGCGGTGCGGTCCACTTTCAAGCTGCCGTTGCTGGCCTTTGCGAGGCCCTCGCTGGTGAGCACCTCATTTGCGTTGAGATTGCCTATCGTTCTGCTCTCGTCGGCATCACGCGGCAATGCTTGCAAGATGCAGGCCGTGAGGGCACGTGCTTGGCCAGCTGTGACCGAAGCGTGGCCGGGTCGCTGCAAGTCGGTCACCTCCTGGGCTCGCTCTACACCAATGGCGTCGACCTCGATTGGCTTGCCATCAACAATGTCCACTCTGCACCACCGGTAGACGTCCCCGTCTACCAGTTTCGCACGGACAACTTTTCACGCATTGCACCGCACGTGGATCGCTATCGCAAAGGCCTGGACCGTGATCCTTTTTTGCGTGCCAACGGTTATGTCAGTTTAGGCAACTGCCCCTGGGCAGGAGACCACCGCGTGGCAGGCAATCCCATCATGCCCGCCACGGGCTTTATTGAGTTTTTCCTCGAAACCATGCAACTGCCCAGCGCCACTTACGCCGCCCATCTGGCACAGATTGAGTTTCGTGAGGCCTTGCCCCTGGACACTCATGAGGAAGCCCATCTGCACGTGGTGTCAGGGGACCACGGCGAGTACCGCTTGCAACACGCCGACGAGCCAATCCTCGGCGAAGGGCGCTTCCGTGCTACCAACAACAACCGAATCATTGCACGTTGCACGCGCCGAGACTTTGACGCTCATCGCGCGGCCGCCTCCCTCGAGGCATTTGATTTCTTTGGCTACCAAACGAGTTGGTCTAGCCTTGACAATGCCTTGCGAGGGGCAGGCGGGCGCCGGGTGCGCCATCTGAACCATGATGCCTTTTACAAGCTCTGTCGAGACATGGGATATGAGTTTGGCTCTGCTCACGCCAATATCCAGGACCTGTATCTGGGCGATGAGGAGGCCATGTACGTGGTGGACTGCAGTCGCTACCCGGACGGCGAGGGCTTCCGCGTGCACCCGGCCATCCTCGACGCCTGCATCCATGGTGGCCTGAGTCTTCTTCAGACTTGGTCGACCACCTTTGTTCCCGTTAGTGTCGAGCACTTAACCATCTACCGCTGTCTGGACACGACTGCCGAGCGCGTCTGCTGCCAGGCCGTGGTGGTTGAACGCGGCCCGGAGCTCATCTCCGTAGACGTACTGCTTGTGCCTTTGGTGGGTGATCACCTGCAGCAAGATGCCCCGCTTGCTCTGTTCCGAGGATTGACTATGAAGCCGCTCAGCAGCCAGCTGCAAGCCGCTGCTGCGAGTGACCTCGACATCTTTCTCACCATGCGCCACCAGAGCAAGCTGCCCCCAGTCACTTGGAATGTGGGCGCCCTTCACCACGCGTACACTGCCGAACCAGAGGCAGAGGATTTGCGTACGCAATACATTGCACTGACCCGAGAAATTCCAAAACTTCAGCGCTACATTGGGCTGCACGCGGCGCACGCATGCCAGCGATTCGCTGGCCAGGAGGCGAGTCTGACTTCCGAGGCTGCGCGCTATTTGAGCTCTCTCCAGCGTCTGGCTCAGTTTGCCAGCGCTGATGACCAGCCTGCGGACCCGCGCTATGTTATTAAAACCGGACAAGCGTTGATGACTGAGCTCCGACAGGTGCTGCCCTTTTGTGCTGCCGAGCTGCGCACGACAGAGGTTCTTTGCCATGAGCTCCCAGATTTTGTGCTCTATCCAGAGCGTGTTGGCGATGTGATATACGCAGATGATGCCCTCGTATCATTCTTCCGCTCCTCCCTGACGGTTCGCCCTGTCTACCGAGCACTAGCTCGCACGGTCAAGGCAGCATGCGAGCAGCTATTTGCGCGCGAGCCTACCCGGGTCATCCGCATCTTGGAAGTGGGCACGCGTCATGGCGGCCTTACGCGTGAAATTAACGAGCTTTTACAAGACATGGGCACGGCTGGCTTAATCGAATACCATGCTTCGGACATTGCGGGCACTTTCCTACATCATGCGTCCGCCTACGTCACGGATATGCCCTGGGTAACAACTCGCCGTTTCGACATTGAAAAGGATGCAGCAACGCAGGGGCTGGAACCGCAGAGCTACGACATTGTGGTTGTGCTATCCACGCTTCATGGTGTGGTCGACATTGACGTCGCAATGGAGCAGGTCAAGCGCATGGTGACACCCAACGGCCTCTTGATCAACACCGAGCCCTCCAACCCTGATCTCTGGTGGTTCATGGAGGCTTGGTTTGGCGGCATGGAGGTGTGGTGGCGCTTCAACGACTTTCGCAAAACGCCCGCCACCTACCGCGCATACTGCGAGTACGCAAATTGTTGGATGGCGCAGGAGCGCTGGGTTGAGCTTTTTGAGCGACAGTGGGAGCTGGGCGAGGTGTACGATCTTGCAGGCGGCGCCACGCCCTGGCTCTTTAACACTCTCTTCACCGTCAAGCAGAGCCCGGACACCTTGCGAGTGCCGACCGACATCAGTCGTGTTGCCAATGCCGATCAGGTATTTGTCGGTTTTGCAGATGCTTCATCAACGCTCGCAACAACGCTGTGCGAGGGATCGGGCGGGGCTCGCCCCATTGCCTGCCCAATTCATCAACTCGAAGCAGAACTGCGCCAGGTCCTACTGGCGTCGACTGAGCCGGCCTTGGAACAGCCAGTACGCCGCTTGCGCCGAACGGATGGTGAGGTTGCGGCCCATGTCAAGTGTGCAGTCGTGCTAGATTTGCAAAATGCCTCGGTACGTGACGTCGAGGTGCTCAGGGTGCTCTATCTAGAGCTTTTGGACTTGGTCAAGCTGCTCGCCACTTTGCCGGACCAAAACTTCTCTCCGTCGCTGTTTGCTGTGACGCGTGGCGTGCACGAGGACAACTTCTTGCTGGGCTATGTTGCGGGTCTGTGGCGAGCGATCAACGATGAGTTGCCGCGATTGACTCCGGTAGTGGTGGATGTGTCAGCTACAGCAGGAGTCAAAGGCGAACGGGCCGTCTTGGACGTGCTGCATGGCGTCTATGGCTACGAAAGCGAATTTGTCATTGATCCAAAAGGCGAGGTCACGGTGCCGCGTTTGCACCGTTTGCCCGCTCACAGCGTCGATCTGACAGTGCCAACAACAAATTGTCGGCGCCTCGTGATTGAAAAGGACATCAAGGCCAACCTGCATGGCGCGCGCTTGTGTGGCGTCTTGCACGGTGGTTCACCCAAAGAAGCAAGCAACGACGGTCCAGCAAGCTTGCGCATCCGGGTAGAGCGTGCTGCACTCAACTTTAAGGTTTGTTTCTCCGTCTTGCGGTGTGCTCAAACGCAAACTCCCTACCCTCTTCTTTCCATACTTGCGCACTCGTTTGTCTGTGGGCTTTTTGCGCGCTGTATGCTCCCAAGCGCTCCGCCTGCTTCTCCAACGCATTCAAATTTAACGGCGTCTGCAATAAAAACTCGTCTGTGTGCGTAGGACGTCATGTTGACAGCCGGTCTGCTGGACAAGCTCAAGGACGGCCAACAGGCACAACTTGGCTTTGGGTGCATCGGCCGGTTGTTCGACGGGTCTAACCAGGGACAACGCGTGGTGGCGTTGGCGGAAAACTGTCTGGCCACTTATGTACAATGCCCCACCGACTTGATGCTTCCAATCCCCTCCACACTTTCCTCCACGGCTGTGGATGCACTAGCCTGCATCACGCTGTATGGCACAGCCCACTTGGCTCTGGTGCAACGAGCACGCCTAAGTCAAGACGACGTGCTACTGATTCATTCAGCTACCAGCGGGGTGGGGCAATGCGCTTTGCAGCTGGCGCAGCACGTCGGCTGCCGCGTGATTGCCACTGCCGGCAGCGTGGAGAAGCGGCGCTGGCTGCAAGAAAATTTTAACTGTCTAGCCGTGACCGATTCACGTGATGCCACCCGCATGTTCCGTGACATCATGGTGGCCACTCAGCAGACAGGCGTATCTGTTGTGCTTTCTTCGGCCGCCGGCGATGTGCGTCAGGCCCTGTTGGAGACGTGTGCGCCGGCGGCTCGCTTTGTGGACATTGCCAAGGCCGACATGCTGAACAATGCGCACACGCACATGGGCGACCTTTTGCAGAATGTTTCGTACATCTCTTGCCAGCTGGATCTCCTAGCACATCGTCATCCCCATGTCATCAAAGATCTCCTGGCAGACGTTGTAGCTTACTTCGAGCGCGGCGTCTATGGACCAATTCAGACTGAGGAGTTTGAGCTAGCCAATCTGCCACTGGCTTTGAAAAGTGCGGGAAAGACGTTTCGCAAAGCCGTCTTTGTCATGGATGATGCCGCCGAAGCTCGCCTGCCCTCGACGGTCGCCCTGTCTGCTGTCGAGCAGTATGACCCCGAGGGTGTGTACATTGTGACAGGAGGCTTGGGGGGCGTCGGTCTCTGGGTTGCTCACATGCTGGCGCGACACGGGGCCCGTCACCTGGTCTTGGTGTCACGCAACGCCAACCAGCCTTCGCGGTATCAGCAGCACCTACTCGCCTCACTTGCGGCATTGGGTGCCGAGCTTCATCTCGTGTCTTGCGACGTGACGGATCGCGATCGGGTGGAGCGCATGGTGGTCGAGGCTCGGCGTCACGGGCCCTTGCGAGGCGTGATTCATCTGGCAGCGCGCCTGGCTGATGGTGTGCTGATGACGCAGCACCGCAAAACCTTTTTGCAGGGTGTGGAGAGTAAGGCATTTGGCCTGTGGCATTTGCACGAAACCACACTGACAGATCAGCTCGACTTTTTCATCGTGACAACTAGTACGCAGGACTTGAGTGGGTTGGAGCAGGGCAACTACGTAGCAGGCAACCTTGTCGCGACGCGCTTGGCACAGATGCGTGAGCGCCAGGGCCTACCTGCCACGGTCGTTGCGCTGGGCCCAGTCATTGGTGCCGGCATGGTGGAGAACGATCCCACTGTAGCGCGCATTTTGCAGGCCCGTGGAGCGGGCTTCGTGCACGTGGCCGAGGTGGCCGAGGTTTTGCGCCTGGCCACTGTCCGAGGCTTGACCCGCTTGCCACCATATGTGATGGCAACTCGAATCAACAACTTTCTGTGTAACGACTCCGTGCCGCTGGCGCCGGGCAACCTGAGATGGAGCCATTTCAAGGGCACTCTGAAACAGACCTCAGGTTCGGCAGACTTGACTCCAGCAGAGCGCTTGGAAAAGGCCCGAGAAAAGGTGGCGCAAATTTTTTGCACGAGTCCCGAGGAGATTGATGTCAAACGCCCGCTCATTCAGTTGGGCGTGGACTCACTCGTGGGCACGGAGTTACTTCACTACCTCCACTATCAATTGGGTGTTACGGCTACGTTTACTGATATCGTGTCGGGCGCCTCCCTTTCTTCACTCCTGCCAGTGGATGAGGCATAAGCCTGCGTCCCGTGCCACTTGGTCATGCTAGATAGAAGGCATGACACAGCGTCTTGTTGTCGTTGGACTGAGTGTAGATCTTCTCGCGTTTTGTGTTGCTCCATGCGCTGCTGCCCAATGCTTCTATTTTACCTCGCTTTTGCTTTTGTTCATTTTTTTTTTTTTTTTTTTCATTTTGTTTTTGCAGCTCGTGTCATGAGATGAACCAGAATGATATATAAATCTATTATTTTGATAGCTATGTCACGACTCGAATATGAAATGATCTTCCATCATGTCTGCTAACTCATGCCTCTCGCATCTTGGCTTCTCTGATGCTCTCAGTCGGTCTGGTCGAATCACTCTCGCCACCCGCCATGTCGAGAATAGGGCGATCCGTTTCCAAGAAGGCGGAAGATCAGCGTTTATACCAGCGTTTTTACCGGCTGGCGCATTCGTAACAGACTACTCTCGGTTGACTAGAGAAGATGTTTGCCCTTGATCTCGTGTAGTCCGGCAAAAGCGTCGCTGAAGACGTCGACGAGGACGGCAGCTGTCTGGGTGAGAGCTAAGACCCAAGTCAACCCCATGCGTGACCACAACCAACCAGAAAGGATAGCAGGCAGCCAACGGGCAGGGTCACGATCCAGCTCGCTCCGAGACCAATGATAAAGCCAACTCCATGCTGGGGTGGCCATCACCAGGCAACAGATGATTTGCCAAACCAGACGGCGCCAAGTGTCTGCTTGTGCTATAAAAGGATTGTTCAGCGCCTTGTCGAAATCAAACCATGTGCGCTCCAGCTGGACCAGAGCACCACCCACCCACAGGGTCCAGCACGTCCAGCGCGGCCCAGTCGAGGATGTCCAGACTGCAAAGAGCGATCAAGAAGATGGGATCCATCATGAGATTCAATGCCGTGCGTGCAATTCTGAGGGCCTGCCCTCACCAAGAAGCCCTGATGCCCAGGGTCACGCGCAACAACTTACGAGGCCGTATGTGTTCGTGCACGAAACTAGCCGCCACAACGACACACAGCAACAAGACGTCCAACTGACAAGGGCACAATTGAGAGTGATGGTCAGGGTGGTATTTGCAGGCACATGCAGATGACAGCCGTGTGGAAGACAACCACGGCACCAGGCGGCCATTGTCGACACCAACATCGTCAGGATGGGTGGGTTGAGGGCGAAGGTTGTCTTGACAAAATGACCCGCACCTGGTCCCATATCAAGATGCCGCTTTGGTGGGCGGTGGAGGCAAGGCAGACCCCCACGCCGTGAGTTCGACAGGTGGAAGCCACCAGCTTCAAGCCCAAGCTGACCGCGGCGACCAGAACGGCCATTGCTGCGGCTGCTCGCACCATGGTCGCTAAACCATTTCGAGTTGGGTGACCACGCGATCCGCCGCTGGCAAATGGTGCGGCAGTTGTTGTACTGCCACCTACAGCAAACGCATGATGAGAAATGTGCCACTCAACAGTATTCAACAGGCTGGGGACAGCATAGGGAAGGTGTAGAGATGGATAATTTCGGATCGCACGCGTACCATCTGCCATGTCAGTTGAAGTGCTAGCCGCCAAAATGACGAGGGCGCCGGTAAGCACAGCCACTTCCAACTTCAAGGTCAAAAGTCGGTACAAATTGGTGGCGAGGGTTGATGGTGCAAAACGCACAATCAATACCCAGAACGATAATGTATACGTTGCGATGCATTGTTAAAGGTTGGGCGAAGGCGGGCAGCACGCGGCCAGTGTGAGTGTGAGACTCAAGACGTTTGGATGGCGAGGGTAGAAGGGAAGGAAGGATGGGGCGTCTTTGGGACTAGCGTACATGCGAAAAGGGCATGGCCAGCGCCAATGCTGACCAAGGAGTAGCGCACCAGATGGCCAGACTCACAGCGACGCCAGTCAACGCTAAGCAATGCGCCAACAGATTCGGACCCATGTGAGGAAAAGGTGTTATGCAGGTGTTGAGAATGTACTCAAAAAATGAAAGACCATGAATGTTCTGAGAAGTGAGGGCACAGCATGCCACTCTTAACAGTGCACGCACCAAAGCGTGAGAACTTGGGAGCTTGGTGAAGATGGAGGGCTAAAAAGCCCACTGCAAGGCTGGCAGCCAACTCGAGGCCAAGCCAGAGCTGCGATGGCATTGTCACTGGGAGTTCGGTGGAGGCGGTATCCGGCGGCTCGAGGCGCAGGGCCAAGGTTCGACCAACCATGATGGCTGTCAGGAAGCGCACGAGCCATCGGCTCATTTCGGGAGCCCGAGTAACTGTGGCCGCATCAAGTTTGGGCCTTGGAGCAAAGAGACCATACGATCGCGTCAAGCGCTGGAAGGCACTGAGCAAAGGACCGGCGGCGATGACATTGGGCGGACGACATGGGGCTTCTTCCGAGGCAGCGGGCCCTTGAGCTGCTGCCAGCAACGTGGCAACCAGCAAAACGTATTGCGTGTTGACATCGGCCAGTTCAGGCACGCCCAAACCCAGGGTCAGGCCGGCGGCAAGGACGGTGAGCAGGGCCATTATCGGGGTAACGGGGTCTGCAATGGGTAAGCGAGCACTTGCCAGGCCCCGAGCCATGCCCAGGATCAAGAGCAGCGCGGCGCTAGCCATGTGGCCGGGCTCGGTCAGGGAAAAGAGTGCGTTGCCAGCGAGAGTACACGCTGGAAGTAAGGATGGCCGGAACACACCGACGCCGGCATCCAGAGCCAACTTGAGCAGGAGGAGACCAAGCAGAGGTATGGAGAGTGCTCGAAAGGGGGAGGCCACCATAAGAATGGTCACCGCAGGCCCGGTCAAGGCACCACGCCCCAAGTGCAGCACATGCTGGATGGCATCCGCCACGAGAGTGGACCAGCGTGGACCAGGCCGGGGTTGATGTAGGGGGAGTTCAAGCCCCAGATCCGGATTGAGAGCGGCTGGATTGGCGGCGCGCAAAAGCGCGGCGGCAGCAGCTGCCCCACAAAGGGACCAGAGGGCGTCTAATGTCATCCACATGGGCGTGTTGGCCGCGGCAACGAGAAACAGAGCAACGCCCAAGACCACGATGACGGGCGTGGCATAGGTGGCTGGTTGCCGTGCGCAGGCCCAGCCGTGGTCAAGGAGGGCTAGATGCAAAAGAAGAGCAGTCAAGCTAGCTGGGCTAATGGCGGTGAGCCGCAGCCAGATGACGCAGAGCAGGATTGAGTGCAGCAGGAGCAGGGTAATGGGCAGGAGGAAAGCTGCATCGCCAGTACTCAAGAGGGAGGACGTTGAGGGCGAAGCCGGCGATACTGGCGGCATTGGCGCAGGGTAAGTTGATGCAGGAGTGACCATGTGCAACGGCTGAGCTTGGGCATCCACACCAAAAACGGTTTCACGGACAACCCCCTGGGAGCTGTGGGTGGCGCTGCGCTGGCGCAAAGAGGCAGCGTTGTCCCCTGTGCCGCTGTTTGTGACGGTTGCATTAGAGTCCAGATTGGAAGAAAGGCCATAGTCAGCGGGGGCATGGGCATGGGGGTGATTGTGCGTCAAGCTGTGCAAGTACTGGTTCAAGGCAGCCCAAGATGCGTAAGCAAGGCAGACGCTGTGGGCGCAAGCGATCCAAGGGTTGGGAGTCCAGCCACCAAGAGTGAGGCACCAGCCTACAAGCAACAAGGGCAAGCGGGCAGGCACCGTACTGGGCGCCTGCATCGGACTGATGTCGGCTGTCGTGACTGGGCTTGTTGGAGCAGGGAGCGAGTCTGGGCGGAGGAGCAAAATGGCAACGGCAAGACGCAGCAATTCAGGCGCATGGCTGAGGCCGCCCACCCACGCAGCAATGGTCGTTATCGTCAGCAAGGCCCACACGAAACGCGTGCTGTGGACACGATGGGCCAGGACAGCCACGAGGGCGTAGACGGCGAGCACCAAGGCGCTGCGCGTCGCCATGAGAGTCAAGGTCAGCGTTGATGCCGCCAACAGCGGGCCGTAGGGCAGACGCAAAACATGTCCAGCTTCAGCCATGTTCGGCGCAGCTAACCCAACATCCCCCATGGTGACAGGAGGTACAAGCTCTTGTCCTATATCCGCAAGACCGCCGCCTCCCGCCCCCCACCACCACCCGGTGTTTGCTCCTCCTGCGCCGGGAGCGAACGGCGGCGGGCACACACCGAAAAAAAAATTAATGACGTCTAAGCGATAGTGTGATGTTGGACACACTTTACATAGCCAAAGCGCTGGTTCCCGCTACCAAATGTTGTCCTTGACCTGGTCGTTTGACAAAAGAATTTGCGTGTGTTTATGCTGGCAAACCAATAGTCATCATGCGGGGGTTCAATCCAATGCCATTGTCAGCAAATTGCTGGTATCGTTTTTTGCTAGCAAGCGGCTGGCTTAAAGGCACCCTTAGTTTCTTCCTTTCTTTTGTTGTTATTAGCGATTTCTTATGCTGGCTCTCTCTCAAATCCCCCTATCTCTCTCTCTCTCTCTCTCTCTCTCTCTCTCTCTCTCTCTCAAAGTGCTACTACATGTCAGAGGAGGAGGAGCTGTGGACTTTTTCTCTTTGAGGTGTGTGACTTGAGCGAGCGAGCGTCATCAATGGCAGCGACGGGTCCACAGGCCGAGGGGTGCGGCCATGTTGATGGGGTGCTGGGAGAGATGCGATGGGATCTTGTTCAATTGGCTCACCCTGGTTTGCCCCTCGGTGCTCTCACGTAGCTTTATCGTAAACGTGCTGGTGTGAATGGCCAGCGCTCGCCTTGCGCGACCTTGACTTGGTATGCCGCCCTCGGCCAGGCTGCTGCAGTCGTGGCTTTCGTTTCGCCATGTGTGCGAGCAAATCGAAGCCGTTCATCCCATGCATTTACGCTTTGGGCTCTTGATTTCTTTCCTCGTCTGGTCTCCTTTCCATGGTTTCCTACCTCCTTCATTGCCTGATCTGATCAGGAAGGGGGCGTACAGGACATCTACCATCCGCGCTCCGTTGACCACTCCTGTCTTGTCTTGTCATAACCTTCTCTTCGGCCTCTGTGTGTGTGGCGTGTGTGTGTGTGTGTGTGTGTGTGTGTGTGTGTGTGTGTGTGTGTGTGTGTGTGTGTGTGTGTGTGTGTGTTCTATGTCTTCCGTTTTTACATGCCTGCCGTGCTTGCCACCGACGTCATTTGACCCCCCCGCTCGGTAGCCTTGTCCTTGCTCTTTTTTTTTTTTTCTTGCTTCTTTTTTTTTTCTATGTCTCAAGTTGTTATAGCCAATGTCCGGGTTCACGGCTAACCTCATGAACCCTGAATGTGTACTTAGATCTTCTAGAATCCAAAAGCGAGAGCCTCACCTCCGGTATGATTTGTCGCATTTATTCCCATCGGCCCGCTGTCTTCTTCAACTCTCCATTGATGTCCCGGCTGTTGTGCTCATTTTCTTGTTTTAACTTTCCAGAGTGTGGTGGCTTTCATGGCAGTGAAAGCGTGATCCGCACCTTCTTCGCAACACACACACACGCACACATACACATTCATACTCGGCTGGCATTTTCAGGGCTGCTTGTTCAAGCTTCCGGGGCAGACCCGTCAGCTAGCTCGTGGACCTCAACCAAGAATCAGCCTAACTGCGCGCCCAGAGTGGCTTTGGACCCGCACGTAGCCGCCGCCCCGCACCAGCGCCATGGGCGAGCTGTGGCAGCAATGCGCACACTGGCTCAGGGATCTGGGCGTTTTGAGTGCCGACGATGTGTCTCTCCAAGCCCATGCCCGCGTCTTTGACCTTGCTATGGCCTTGCAGGTTTGTTGGCAATCCCTATCCACTGTAACACCAAAAGCCCCATGGATATTCCTACTGCACACACCACTTGACTTCCAAGTACCCCCACTCCATTTAACTTGCCGGCTTGATGTTTTTAAACTTTGATAGGATGGCACCATTCTGTGCCACGCTGCTAATCGCATTCGTCCCGGCTGCATCTCCCACATCAACAACTCACCTGAGATGCAGTTTATGAAGATGCAAAACATCAACCAGTTTATCGAATGTCTGCACACCACCTTCAACCTGCCCGAAAATGTTTTCTCCGCTGATGAGCTCTACTATGCCTCCAACTTTGCCAAGGTCCGCTTGTGTCGGCCTTTGTCGTCCTCCTCGGCTTGTTGTGCATACTCACCACGTCCTTGATTTTGCCGTTTGTGCCCATCATCAGGTCATGGAAGCTTTGTCCCTCTGGTCACGCTCGCGTATCGTGCAACAAGCTGGTATCCGGTACGATGGGATGGTCCCTCTGCCAGGGGCTTGGCGCGTGAACAATTGGCCTTGTAGAGCACTTGTCCACATTCATTTTTTGTTTCACCGACGCCCCCTTGCACCCGTTTCATCCTGTCTAGGCCATTCCCTTCCCAACCGGCCCAGAATACAGCTGTCGAGGCTGGCCAAGATGTCTATTCCAGCTTGGAGGATCTCGTGGGCCAGTCACTCAGCTTTCAGGACATCAAGGGCACCCGTCGAGCTGCACCCCCCACCGATGAGGAGGAAGATGTCTATACCACCCTCGTACAAACTTTCTCCTCCCTAACCATGGTGAGTCGATGCGAGTCGCCATTTGAAGTTCCATTTCAAACGAACGGACAGGTGCTTGATGCTATGCTCGCCGCTTGGATTCAATTTGGCTGCTGTGCTGCCTCTATTCCTCTCTCCCCCTCTCCCTCTCTCCCTCTCTGGGTTCCTCCCTCTTCATTCAGGATTCGCCTGGAGTGGACTCGGATGAGATTTATCGCTCGCTTGTCGACGTACAGTCATCGACCTTGGTGGCGGATACGTCTGCCAGCTTTGACGATGAGAATATTTACGCCGCCTCGGGCCTGTCCCCTGACGAGCGGCGCTCCCTCGTGGTATGATGCCCTTCCCGAACACACACACTGCACCCTTGCCTCTCATAAACACCAAGAATGATCTCTGCCTCACCGTGTTTACCACCCGGCCTTTGTGGGCAACCAATCTGTTTGTGTTATGCAGCTGGACGAGCTGACGCAAACCGAGAAAAACTACGTTGGCGTGCTTGAAGTTATCCACAACACTTTCAAGCCTGCCTTGGAGAGTATTTTGGATGCGCGTGACATTCGCGTCATCTTCAACAACGTTCACCAGCTGCTCGACGTGCACCACCAATTCCTGCAAGATCTACAGGGTGTCATGCAGAGGACCACTGGACGTGTGATCAGCGTCATCTTCAACCAACACGTAAGAAAATTGACCCCCACCCACACGCTGATTTCTTGGCAACGCAGTCAAAGAGCTCCGGTGCTTGCCTCGGGTGCCCTGACATGCCGTTTCATGCTGCGCGCATCCGACCAGATGAAAGCTTTCCGCTGCTACGGTCAATTTGTGTGCAACATCCCCGAAGCACAGCGAAGACTGTCAGAGCTTCAAACCAAAAACACCATCGTCAAGGTCAGTGCTTTTCATCTTTTGTAGTCATCTGCATGCCCTGCTTTTTTTTTTTTTTTTTTTTTTTTTTTTTTTTTTTTTTTTTTTTTTTTTTTTTTTTTTTTTTTTTTTTTTTTTTTTAAAGGGAAGTTTGTTTGGAACCCAATCGCCCCCCCCCAAAACCCTCATAAAAAACCTTTTTTGCTTCGGGGCCCGGCCAAAAAAAACCCGG